TGAATAAAGAAAATGTAATTTCTCAATCTATTAGTGTATTATTTATAAAATTTAAGAAGCAATAAGTACCTCTAGGAGGTATAGTTCGAAAAGAATCGGCAAACGGTACAAATACATGTTTAGGATGTAAAATATAAATTAATTTACAATAGTAAAAAATAGTCATTATTTACTATAGTTAATTTATAATGTTGAGCTAAATTTAAAAGGCTCCTTTGTATGCTAAACTAGGGAATCGGTAAAAGCACACATTTTCAGGAGATCCAAAAACAGTTTATAACCCTGAGTTCGATCCGTAGATCTTTTGTTCATTTTTATGGACAATTTAATGATATAATTTAAAACAACTTTAGAATACAAAAGGCATCTAAAATCCATAAAACTCAAAAACTATTTTTTCTAGATTCGCTACTTCAGCATATCAGGTTCTGAAATTTATACAATACGAAAAACATTTAGGAAGTGTGAGTCAAAATGAATCAGGATGAGGAAAAAATAAATCACCAGGATGTAAAATATAAATTAATTTATTACAGAAAAAATAATATTATTTACAATAATTAATTTATAATGATATTCTAAATCTAGAATGTTCCTCGGACTTCGAGTCCTCCATGAGTATCCCTCGTCTTGTAGCCTCCTGGGTACCTATCCCTGTTGTGCTCGACGTATCCTCCAGCAGAAAACCTGCCGTCCTTCGATCTCCAGGCGTCCTGGGATATCCTGTAGGTGTCGTGTCGTTCCCCACCTTGCTCTCTCCGGGAGGCTTCGGCTCTAAATCTGAGACGGTCGTCTTCGGCTTGGGTGAGGGCCACCAAGCAGGCGGCCAAGAAGGAGATCAATACCAACTTGTTCATTTTCTAAAAATTATATGAAAAAACAATTAACACTTCGTGCTTTTAAATTTATACATTTTTAGTTTAAATGATAAAAGGGCGGGTGACCAAACGGTGATTTGTAAATAAACGCGTTGTCCGACATCTCCTGATAAAATGAAGCCTAAAATGCGAGAACGGAAGAAAAGAAAAATTGTATTCTACTAATAAAAATATTAGTATTGATTATTTCTTGAAAAAAAATCGATGGAGGTATATCAAAATTTAAATAAATAAAGATATTACAAATATTTAACTTTGTCAAACAAAAAAAAATATCACAGCTATTTTTTAAGTCAATGAAGTGTCAAAAGTATTTTTTTTTAGGTTTTTATAACAAATATCATATATTTCAATGCTCCCTCTTTGTTTTTATTACACTTAAAGGATTTAAACAGTTCCTGTTAACTAAAAAACACCCAAAATGATTTAAAAACAATCATGTTTTTTGTTATTTTGCTTGTCAAAAATTAATATGTTTTTATTTCATTTTTATATGTAATCCCGCTTTTATGGTTTTTATTAATCCAAATTTATTATTCCTATTTTATTAATTTCCTTTTCTTTCTGTATTCACAGTATTCAAGAAAAAGTTAAAATGAAATTTCCGATCTATAGTTAAGAGATGTAGAGAATATCACATGCCGGTTAGGTCTCAAATGTTTCTTCTTAAACAAGGCCATCTCCGAATTTTTATTGCTTTGTGAAACGTCTTTATTTTATTTAATAAAATATTATATATTCTAATGGATATAACTTATTTGGTTACTATTACATTTTTTAATTTATATTTTTATTCGACACGAGATATATTTTTATATCGAATTTTATACAAATTCGAGATTCGTAATCAAAGCTGAAAAACGTATTACTTCTTGAATTATTTAAGATCTACAATTAAAAAATTGTATACAAGTTCAAGTTCTATCAATAATTTAAAAAAAAAACTACTAAATTGATAATAAAGTGCATTAGATATATGTGCACAGTTACCTTATTTGGTTGACTTGACGAGATGTGATGCTGGTGGAAGCTGTGAGATTCTGCCATCCACAAACCCCCCTACGCTAGATATACTCCAGTCGCTGTAAACCACAGCGATCCGTTGTTCCTGAAATTCGAGTTGGATTTTCCTCAATGGGAGGGTGAAGAGTTTATCTAAGATTATTTTCTATTACTGAATCACCCAAAAATTTAATAAAAAATAAGACGTTAAAAGAGAAAAAAACTTTAATAAAAACAATATCCAATTATTTATATTCATCCATTTGAATATGTATGTAGAATATTGTTCTTAATTGGGGAAAAAATAATTTATATAAATTGAAATAATTAAAATTTTTTTCCGATATACTTATACTTATAATATTTAATCGTTATTTATTTAAAGAATTGTTTTTTTTTTTTAAAGAAAAGTAAAGCCGCCAGTTTTTGATTGACAAAAAGAAAAGCTTTGTTTTGTATTGATGAAATTGACAAGTATAAATAAAACTGGCTGTGTGATAAATAAATATGTGGGATAAATATATTTGAAACTAGCCATAAAGGCCAAAGCGTTATAATAAAATTTGTTCGTATACAATAATGATTAAAATAAAAGGTTGTGAGAAAAAAAAGGTTTTCATTAAAAACATAATCATATATAAATAAAATAGAATAAATATATTAAACAGATCTCGCAAAAAAATATGAATAACCTAAATAAGGTTTTTTTATCATATATATATATATATATATATATATATATATATATATATATATATATATATTTATTATTCTTTAGAGGTCTGTATATTTATGAACTGTTTCTTTAAACTAAGATACATATGGGAAGCAGTTCTTGTGGCTAGACCAAACAATAACCATATTGCTCTGAAGATGATTCACATGCTTGGCTCGAAACGTCGACAATTCTAACAAAACATACTAAACTGCAACTTCTGACTATATATCATCCATATAATTTATTATATTATTTACATTTAGTTATATGTAAATAAATATAAATTTAATAACATTGGAAAGTATCAAAATATTCAATATGTCATCAGAATTAGTGCTATGAACAATAAAACAACACATTTGTTTTAAAACACAAAGATTTTTGAGAGTACAACATTATCTGATAACCCCACGATCCAAGCAATATGAAGTTATAACAAGAAATCATTGAAACGGTACACACACAAACGGACAAAACACATACTCCTAACATAACAAAATCCAATTCATAACTTTACAAATATTGACAAATAAGCAGCAACAAACTTTCCATAAATAATATTATTTTTAAAAAAAGTGTGAGTGTTTGTATAGTTTTCTGTTGTTTATTCATTATTTCAATGACAGTTATATAATTTTTTTAAATTATATTTTATAACTTATGTAGGTTTTTATTAGATTTTATCCTACTGTAAAAATATTTTTCAGCATAAAAAATAGCAACCACTTTATCATAACATGTGTAAGGCAGTTAAACCATAAGCATGTAACTAATATTATGACCTAATGTGTACCTTCTATGAAAATAAAACAATTTTTGATTTGAAAAAAAAAGTCCCTATTTAATTAACTGTTTTTTTTATTTTCGTACTCTTCAGAATCATGGACGCTGACAAAGAAACATCGATCAAGGATACAAGCGTCAGAAATCCAATTCCTTCGAAAGATTGAGGGTAAAACGAGAAGAGACAGAGTACACAACACCACCATCAGATTGAACCTCAGTATTAAGCCGGCCTATGATGTGATAGAAGAGAATCGACTGAGATGGCTAGGACATCTTCTGGGGATGGACCCAAACAGAATAGCTAGCGAAACCTATCGATCTAAAGTAGACCGCAAGAGAGGAAGAGGACGGCCTAGAAGGAAATGGGAAGATGAAGTGAACAGGAATTTCCAGAGAAGAGGTTTAATGGAATGATAGAAGGCATCTTGTGGAAGACCGGCAGAGCTGGAGAAGGCTCTATAAACTTCCTCCTCACACTGCTTAATGCGGTTCAAGAGGATGATAGGATGATGATAATAATATATATATATATATATAATGTGTAACTGCTTACAGTAACTGGTTAATCAATTCTTTATTATGTAAAACGAAGGAGGTTAAGACTGGAGTGGAGCTCGGAGCAATCCATCAGGAAGACAACAATGAATGATTCAATAGTCGTCAGAAGACCAAGAGGAAGTCTAACAACAGATGGATAGATTGAATCAACAAGGATGCAATAAAAATCGATATATTTGGAAAGAAATATTCCAAGATAGGTAGAGATTGGGAAGGGAGATTAAGGCAGCAAAAGATCTCCAAGATGTGTAAGGCCAATAGAAAAGAAAAGAAATGTTATTTTAATAGCGATTTTCATTATGCATATTTTCCAATAATTCTATACATTTTATATACATAGTAAAAAGGAGAGGTTACGGACATAGGGTCACTTATTTTAATGAAATCAGTCAAAATATTAGATCTGTGTCCGAGGAGCGGAGAAAAAATATATTTTATAATTTTTTTTTGTATATTAATGTTTTCTGTCTTTTCTCTGTACGAATTTCTAAATTAAACCACTCAGATTCATTTTTTGCGCCCACTAAAACTCTTAAATACGATAATAATAAAACTCGTATTTAAGAGAGGTTATATCAAAAACTATTTTATGATTTCTTTTTTCATGCCGTTTACTAAAATATCCATTACTCTTAAGTCTAAGATACTCCAAAAGTAAGAAATCTCAATTACTGTTCATAAAACCGTATCGATAAATTTTAGATTCTACGTCTCTATAAGAAATAAATAAATAAAAACTCCTTAAAAGTTTTTAATAATTGTCTCCAAGCACAATTTATTTGCGGGCGTCTGACTTGTACCATTTCGTGAATATTTTAAGGTCTTACACTCATGCTAATTTCCATCTGGATATGTAGAATGAAAACAAATCGACTCCGCTCCTAGGCCACATTTCTCTCATATAACATGTCTGGACAACAAATCCTGACTGTTTATCATCCTCATAATTTTAAAATAACAGTTAACAAATATATCGACCTCTAAAATAATAAATAAATATATATTGGGAAAATATTATAATTTTCTCTATCGAGAATAAAATAATATTTATTTATTAAATGCCTGATTGTAGGTAATTGGATTTTCTCAAATAAAAAATATTTTCTATGTTTTAATGTCTAACGCTTTCATCTAAAAAAATTATTTGTTGATGTATTTATGTGTGATTTCATAACAAAAAATATTCGTAGGATGAACTCCTCACCCTCCCATTGAGGAAATCCCATCTCGGATTTCAGGAACAAAGAACGGATCGCTGTGGTTTACAGCGGCTGGAGTATATCTAGCGAAGCGGGGTTGGAGACGGCAGAACCTCACAGCTTCCACCAGCGTCACATCTCGTCCAGTCTCTCTCATAAGGTAATTGTGAACCCGAATCCTTTTTATATATTATTATTTGTCTTTTAACGAAAACATTTAATATTGTTGATAAAAAATGTAGAACTTTCAAAGTACCTTGGTTCTTTTTGGAGCTTTCCTACACCTCCCATATATCTTTAGTAGTAATTCAAACTGGGACAATTTTATTTTTTAATTTTTAAATTAAATTTAAGACCTAATATTTTTTTGTTTTGTTTACAAATCTTAAATTTTTAATATAAAACAATATTCAATGTAAACAACAAAAAAAGAAAAGTTTATGTTTATTTTTAAAAGCAGAACCTAATGGTTTATGTTTAATAGAATTGATAATAATTAATACAATAACAATGTTTTTTGAAGAAATGGAAATGATGACCATATTTAACAGAGAGAAACACTTTATTTTCATAAAATATAAAATATAAAGGATTGCTGCCCACTTATATTGGGTTGCTATATACACAGCATACTTTTCTATCCTTAGGACAATATATGAACTTATATATAAATATACAGAAGTATTAGTTAATATTAGTAAAATAGATATATATACATACATTTTATTATAGTGTTTTTTTTTTTTTTTTTTTTTTTTTTTTTTTTTTTACATTTAGTTTCCCTTTCTCTCACTTCTCTCTCTTTATCTCTATTGTTTTCAATTATTCATTAAATAAACAAATAAATACATAAATTAAAACTCTCCGGCTAGCCATGCACGTGGTGGTGAATGATTCCCAGGGAGTCGAGGACTATATTTACGCAATAAGCAACTGCGAAAGATATTATTTGAATTTCTTTCCCAACATAGAGTGAAATTTTCTGTTTAAATTGGTCTGTATATTAAATAGTTTGACCAAAAAAAAATCATAGAATATGAATAAGAAATTTGGTTTGGAAATGTAAATGTAAAAAAAAAAAACGTAATTTCGACAGTCAATGCACCAAAAATTTATAAAAAATCTATTTTATTAAATCGTTTGGGCGTTTTGTAGAATACAGGAAACTTAGACTTTTAATTCCTTTACATTTTATTAAAATCGATAAAGGAGTATTGATATGTAATAACTTTAAAAATTGCTTTTTGTTCTTCACTGACTCTTAAAAAATGTTTCACTGCTGTTTAATTTAAAAAGGATTTTCTGTTTAATTTAAAAATTGAGGAATTTTCTATTCATCGACATGTTTATATACATATATATATATATATATATATATATATATATATATATATATATATATATATATATATAAACCTCCATAATCGATAAAAAGTTGTTCGGCATTATTTTTTCCTGTAATTTTAGTACTTATTGTTGCATTTCTCCTTACACTATTGCCCGGATTTGTTTACTGATTTCACCTGTAGTTTATTTATTTATTTATTTATTTTAGAACTTGCATATTAAGAAATATTACAATCTGTGTTACAGGATATTTATAATAGTATTCAGAGATCATATTCACACTAGTATGTATTATAAATAAAAATTAATTAAACAGCAAAACAATAAAAAAACCTAACTACCTATTTACACTATTTACAAACAGCCAAGGGAACTCCGAGCCAGACTTGCCTCTCCAACTTTGGAGGAAAAAGCCGAACTCCAGGAGATTCCTGCACTACTCTCTGAACCGCGTCACTGAAGCTAAACACATTCTCACCTATTGTTAATACCTGATTAGTTTTCAATACTAACATTTTCATTAGTAGCTTAGGATTATTTAATCTAAAAATGAAGTGATATCTAGTGTAATTAAATATTTTTTTTTTTACTTTATAGAAAATGAACAAGTTGGTATTGATCTCCTTCTTGGCCGCCTGCTTGGTCGCCCTCGCCCAAGCGGAAGACAACCGCCCAAGGCTGACTGTCGAAGCCTCCCGGAGAGAGCAAGGAGGGGAAAGACACGACACTTACAGGATATCCCAGGACGCCTGGAGATCGAAGGACGGCAGGTTTTCTGCTGGAGGATATGTAGAACACAACAGGGACAGGTATCCAGGAGGCTACAAGACGAGGGATACTCATGGAGGACTCGAAGTCCGAGGAACATTCTAGATTTAGTTCATCATTATAAATTAATTATTGTAAATAATATTTTTTTACTGTAATAAATTAATTTATATTTACATCCTGGTGATTTATATTTTCCTCATTCTGATTTGTTTGGCCGAAACTTCCTGCTGATTTTTCGAATTGTATACATTTTAGATCCCGACATGCTGAAGAAGCGAATCTAGAAAGATTAGTTTTTGAGTTTTTATGGATTTTGATATGGGACCATCTAGGCACCAATCAGCATAATCTCTGAAAATTTCATGAGGAAGTACAACTTTAAGTTAGGAAAGCAATCCTTCATGCCAGACTTTATCGAAAGCTTGACTGATGTCAAGAAAAACTCCAGGACAATAATTTTTAGATTCTAAAGAATTAGAAATGTAATCTACGAACCGATGGCATTGTTGAACTGTAGAATGATGCTTTCTGAAACCGAATTGATGATTTGGAATAAATTTAAAGATATCAAGAGAATCGAGACGACGAAGAATAATTTTTTTCAAATAATTTAGAAAAGCAAGGAAGAAGGCTGATTGAACTATAGGAATTTGGAGAGTCTAAAGATTTGTTAGCTTTTAATACCATGACAACTTCAGAATATTTCCAAAGGGTTGGGAAATGGGTGATTCTCAGTATAGAATTGTATATATTTGTTATAAAAAGGATTGCTTTCCAAGGTAAATTTTTAAATTAAATTAAAAAAGAGAGACAGCATGATGCTGGAGAATCCGTTTGGTTATAGTCTAAAGTGGTTTCTCACAAGTTGCTAGACCATTCAAAAAGTTGTCAAAATTTTCAGTCTTTTTACGTCTTATTTCTTCATGAAACAGTCGAGTTAGTTTGTTAAACTTGTGTTTGTCAGATGGGTAACGAGTTCTTTGCCATAACTTAGGAGCATTTCATTTTTGTACGATGAGACGTCTTATCTCCGGTGAAATGTAATTATGGTTATGTTTGTCTGTCTTTATGTCAGAGATGCCAGAAGTCCATGCTGAATTTTGTATGGTTTGTGTTAAGTGATGAACTGCGTCGTCCAAGTCTTCAGGCGTTCTTATGTAAGTGTTGAGTGAAAGTGAATTTTCAATGGATGAACTAAACTTGTTCCAGTCAATTTTTCCAGGCTTTAACGATGGTCGTGGAGTTTTGGTTATAGGTTTTGAGTCTATCGTTAAAAGAAGAGGGTTATGATCTGAAGATAAGTCAGACAAGTAATGGCGCAATGCTGTACGTTTATTCTCTTGGCAATAAAAAAATCCAAAACTTCAGGAATCCTGTTAGCATCCGTGGGCCAATATGTCGGTGAAGAGGGCGACAAGCATTTACAATTCTGAGCAAGAATAGCGTTTTGAAGGGCTCTGCCCCTAGAGTTACTGATTCTGCTGCCCCACACCTGATTCTTAGCGTTGTAATCTCCACCACATAAAAATCTTTTACCCAATGAATGTAACAGCTGGTTAAACATTTGGATCGATAAATTCTTACCAGGAGGGCAATATAGAGCTGCTATAATAAGGTTAAAATGAAATGCATTAACAACTATTGAAGTGCATTGAAAACTCTCACACGCCTCAGAAGCGTTAAAATGGTGACTGATTGAATTCTTTACTATAATGAGAGTTCCTCCCTTAGCTCTGTTTGAAGGATGGTTTGTCCGATAAATGATATAAGACGGTAAGTGAAACCTTATATTTTTGGTTAGGTGAGTCTCAGTCAGTAAAGCTATGTCTATGTCGTTATGAGTGAGAAAAATTTCGAGTTCATTTTTACGAGATAATACACCATTGGCATTTCAAAGAGTCACATTTAGTCCTTTCATTTGGTAAGCTTTGGAAGAACATGTTGTGCCAGTGATGTTAGTAATGACATCAGGGGCGAAACAAGATTTTTGAATTCGTTTATAAAGTTTGTCAGTTGTGTTGTAATGTCTGGGACGTTCGAGATGTTATTTGGTTGAAGATTTGTGTGTGTCAATCTGTGTGTCATTTGGTCTCGTCAATTTGTATGAGTAAGTTGATTCTGTAGCAATGTTTAGTGGCTGTACATATTTGGGTAATGGTTGTAACGGTGGCTCAAGATTACCTGCTGAATTCTGGAAAATTTTCGAGGAGCCTTCGTTTTCTTTCTTAATTGGCTGACTCGTCCCTCGTTTCTCATAAAATTCAGGATTTCTCAATGCTAGGCGCTGTCTAAGTTTCCTTAGTTTTTTGTGTATAGTGCATCCTCTGTAGTTCGCTGGGTGAGCTTCTCCACAAAGTACACATTTAGGTGGAGAGTTTGGAGGTTTCTTGCAACTCGATGACAGATGTGTTCCGGCACACTTCACACACCGCGGCTTTAAATTGCAGTATGATTAGGTGTGTCCGTAGGATTGGCACCGCTTACATTGGACGATTTCATTACGTCTTCTTGGTTCTTCAACTATGATTTTCGTATGATAGAAATATTCAGACATTAAATCTGTAAAAGCAGGAGTATCTCAGGGTAGTGTCCAGGGACCAATATTGTTCTATATATACATATGTCTGACCTACCGCAACACAGTGACACCCTACTGGCTACTTTTGCTGACGATACCGCAATCCTCAGTTCAAATAAAAATCCTATTCGAGCATCCACCACTCTTCAAAACCACTTGAACGATATTGCTGATTGGGCCACAAGGTGGAAAATTAAAATGAATGAAAAAAAAGTGTGTACGTAGTTTTCACTCTTCCCCCTTCCCCCGAAATATATTTTAATGACATTGAAATTTCTGCATCCGAGGAAATTAAATATTTGGGTCTTTACCTCGACAAAAGACTAACTTGGAGGACACACATTAGACAAAAACGTATGGAATTAAACAGACGATACGGTCTTTTATCTAGATTACTTGACAGACGCTCAAAATTATCTTTGACTAACAAACTAACACTCTATAAAGTTTTACTAAAACCAATTTGGACTTATGGCATAGAACTGTGGGATTCTGCTAAAACTTCTAATATTAAAAAAATCCAGTTTTTCCAATCCAAAATTTTACGAAGAATAGTTTACGCACCATTTTATGTCGCAAACGAGAGATTACAAAAAGAATTGAACAACCCAACAACTTCAGACACTGCAAAATTAAACTACAACAACTTTCACCAAAGACTAACTTACAACACAAATCCTCTGTCAGAAAACCTTAAAAGCACCAGAAACCAGTACATCCCATCTCGACGATTACGTAGGCGGTGGCCAAGAGACCTGCTGAACTGAACTATTTCCTGGATTGTAATGGAACGCTGTGAAGCTGCCAAAAAATTGGCTCATTGCAAAGAAATTTGCAGATCGCAAATTTAATTTTTTATGTCCAATTTTATGTTAATAAATAATAATTAATAAAATTTCATGAAGATTGGATGAACAGTACTAGGTGATATGCCCGTCACATCGATTTGACTACAGACAGACAGACACCAAACCAAATTTGATCCTTGATGTCTGAAACGGAAAACGCGAGTGGAAATTTTCGATTCTGAGCAAAAAAAATTTTTTTAATCTCTCCCAGGAACACAATGCTTCCCTACCTTCGGTAGCGAGGAAGCAAAAAAAATCCAAAAGGAGGTCTGTCGAAAAACAAAAATCTCAGATAAATTGTCATTATTTATTCAGTGCTCATGTTTTGACTTCCCTTGTCGGTCTTCATTACGGTTCAAAAGAAAGATACAAAATATATGAAACTATTTCAGGCTTAAAAAGGAAATGTATATGGAATTACTGAGGTAATTATAAATTGTTTGTATTTATATAAATTATAAATGTACGTTTACCTCAGTAATTTTACGTATGACATATCACCTCCACCCACCATCCACAAGAACATCTCGGGTTGTTCATCTGGCGAGAGACCAACACGACAAAGGCCAAGGCGCGGGATATCTTCGATAACCTGCTTCGACGACGACCTTCTATGAAGATGGAGGATAACACTTCATGTTTTCCTGTTTCTGGGACGCCATATGTTATCTTTGATTTTTTAGTGCATATTTAGTTTATCTCATCTGAATTTTCATTTACAGCAATAGATAACAGAGCATTGATTTCCTATCTCATAGTTAGCTCAGTATTCCTTACATCATACTTACAAACGTCAGGCCATAGCAATGACACGTGTCGGTCTAAGAAATATTGCTTGAATGGAAGGGGAAAAGAGTATTATTGTAAGGTTTGTTTGTTTGTTGGGGTTCGAAGGCGTAAAACATTAACGCCTGTAAATTAATTTCGTTTATCTCTGGATTAAAGCTTTAAGAGATTTTTAAATTTTTGTAAATAAATCGTTCGATTTCAAGAAACCTAACACTAACTTCATTGTATATTCATCATCCCTAAAAACTATTGACTGTAGCGCCTTAGCGGTGATGATTTTAACGAAACTCGTCTAAAGTATTCTCCTTGAAGCTCTTTAAATTAATGTATATGAGCAGGGGTGTCCAATCCATCTAAGGTCGATGGCGCAAGAATCTGCCCCCTTCTCCTCCTCCAAGGATAATTCAGTGCTCAGTTTCTTAAAAACGGAGCAAAATTAGGAAAATCGTAGATCATATACAATTACACTTGCTGCAGTCTGTTTCATGTTTTCCTCTTGTCGCTCCTTAGTACGAAAATTGATGACCCCATCGATATTTGCCCTCTAAAAAGTTTAAAAACCAATCAAAAGATGCCTCCTTCAAAATTTTTGATTGCGCCATGAAACCCCCTTCTGGACACTTCTCTACATGTCATACGTCCCCGAAAAGAAACTCGAAAACAAGTTATGGGTGACGCAAACATTAGATTTATGAATAAATAAAAAAATAATCCCTTTTATGGTTGATCTGGTAACTTAGTATATGCTCGTTTGGTGGTTTAGAAAATTTCCTAAAAAAAAAATGTTTATTTCATTTTATCAAATTTTTAAAAGATTTACCATGTGTTGTTTTGCGAAGCCTAACTACTTTGTTTGATCCTCAAATAAATCAATCGAGATTGTTGTCTATATCTTTTTAAATATAAATTTTAATAAAGCTTAAACACGCTAATATTAGCTAACATATTTTCTTTATTTTCCTTAGTGTTAAGAAAATAAATAATTTATTATATAACTGTTTCAAAATAATAAACCATTGTATAGTAATTTACAGCATTGATTTCACTACTAATTGTCATGGTGGAAAAATAAAATAAATAGTAAAATTGACCTCTTAGTAATAATATATCAGAGATTAATATTGAAATCTTGCATGTTCTATTAGCATAGATATCAATCCTCGAGTTCCATCGCTAATAATATGCAGGTCCGATTTTTATTTTTCAAGATACTTTAATCCATATACAAAAACACTTCAATTAGTCGACTTCAGCCGACTTTACCCGAGCGTTACACATCGGAGATCTGGGGGCTCAATCTATTTCATTCCCCACACAAAAAGAGCAAAACGCGTCTAAAGAAGTTTCCACTTCAAAAATATTTGATAATGACATTTTACCAACATATATTATCCAAATACATACGTTAGGAAACAGAAGAGGAAGTTTTTTTTAACCGATCAGCAGTTTTATATAACCTTCGTCTCTAGTTTCTTACAGTATATATTTGGATGGCTTGGTGAGATATCAATTGCAAGTGGTTTTTTTCTTATATATTTTTTTTCATTTGCAATCTTGTTTTTTTTCTGCCCCGATGATGTCCAAATTGGCGAAACATTGGCATTAGAAAATAAGGCTTTATGGTTTTGATTCTTCAAAATATATCGTCGATTGTATGCTAAACTAGGGAATCAGTAAAAACACACCTTTTCAGGAGGGCCAAAAACAGTTTTTAACCCTAAGTTCGATACGTAGATCTTTTGTTCATTTTTAGGAACAATTTAATGATATAATATAAAAGGACTTTATAATACAAAAGGCATCTCAAGTCCATAAAACTCAAAAACTATTTTTTGTAGATTCGCTACTTCAGTATGTCAGGTGAAATTTATTCAATACGAAAAACATGTAGGAAGTGTGAGTAAAAATGAATAAGAATGAGGAAAAAATAAATCACCAGGATGTAAAATATAAATTAATTTATTACAGTAAAAAAAATATTATTTACAAAAATTAATTTATAACGATGAACTGAATTTAAAATTTTCCTCGGACTTCGAGTCCTCCATGAGTATCTCGTCTTGTAGCCTCCTGGATACCTATCCCTGTTGTGCTCGACGTACCCTCCTGCCGAAAACCTGCCGTCCTTCGATCTCCAGGCGTCCTGGGATATCCGGTAGGTGTCGTGTCGTTTACCACCATGCTCAGTTCTGGAGGCTTCGACTGTTTTTCAAAATAAGTTTTTTTGGTTTCAAGCTCTGGTATGTAGTTTTATTGTTAATGATATACAAATTAAAGTGGTAATTTTTTTCAAACCTGATATAATTGATCAATCAACTTAGATTCTCTAGAGCGAAAAATCTGTAGGATATTTGGTCTATATGGATCAGTAAGAAGTGAAAATAATTTTCTAGGATATCACGAATTATGTGTCTTCAAGATAATTCAAAAATTTTCTAGAATGTAAAATATTTGAAAAATGAAATTTGACATCGATTGTAGCGTTTCATACCACTGTTCATCGATTTAAAATAATTGGAAAAAGGTAAACATAAAGTCTAAGATATAAAATATAAATTAATTTATTATAGTACAAAATGTTTCATTATTTACATTAGTTAATTGATAATATTGAGCTAAATCTAGAATGTTCCTCGGAATTCGAATCCTCCGTGTGTATCCTTGGTCTTGTAGCCTCCTGGATACCTGTCCCTGTTGTGCTCGACGTATCCTCCAGCAGAAAACCTGCCGTCCTTCGATCTCCAGGCGTCCTGGGATATCCTGTAGGTGTCGTGTCGTTCCCCACCCTGCTGGGTTCTGGAGGCTTCGGCTCTAAATCTGGGGCGGTTGTCTTCGGCTTGGGCGAGGGCCACCAAGCAAGCGGCCAAGAAAGAGATCAATACCAACTTGTTCATTTTCTATAAAGTAAATTAAAAAAAAAAAAATTAATTCTACTGTATCACACTAAATTTTTAAATTAAATAATTCTAAGCTATTAATAAAAATATGAATAAAACATCAATACATATAGAAACTTTGATACATACAGGAATTGCAAATTTTCAATCCTATCAGATTAAAAACCATTACACCTAATTTGTAAGAGTCGACGAAATATCAAAATTAACTTTTTTTAGCCCTCACAATTTCCAATACACCATCAGCGATTTTATTTTAAATAAAGAACTAAGAGATTCCCGTTTCCTCCAAAATATCCAAACATTTTAATAAAAAAATAAATTTTTTTGTTGTAATGTTTTGATATCTTCCTTGACACAAATTAATATGTTTTTGGTCACATCTATATTTATTTATTTTACGTCTTTATGGAGCCTTCTCTTTGTAATTTTACGATTTTATATTTGGTGCCATGTATAAAATTAAAAAGACTTATTAAAACGGAATATAAAATAAAAAGTACACTTAATATTAGGATAGTGATCTAAGAAGCTACACGTTAAAATTTCCATAGCTTCTTGAAACAGTAAATTTAAACAGTTTATTTAATTATAATACTTTCTAATGAACATTAACTAAGATATTTGATTCCTTTGATTTTTTACTTTTTTAAAAGTGACTTTATTTCACATATAGAATAATTTTTCTATTAGAAATTTAAAAAATAAAATAAAAAAAGCTTGATATCTAGAGAATTAAAAATTTAAAAAAAAATGTTCTAATTTGACTTTGTACGAAAGGCTACTTAAATTATTTTGGAGGAATTTAAAAGGCGTTGCTTTTGAACTTCTAATTACTCTATCAAGGGTTTTAAAGATTTTTAATTATTAAACTAGAGATTAAAAATATTTGAAAAACTACAGCTGAACAGTTATTACCTTATTCGAGAGACTGGCTGAGATGTGACGCTAGTAGAAGCTGTGAGGTTCTGCCGTCTCCAAACCCGCATCGCTAGATATACTCCAGTCGCTGTAAACCACAGCGACCCATTGTTCCTGAAATCCGAGCTGGTATTCCCTCTATGGAAGGGTTAAGAGTTCATCCTAAGGATATCTTCTGTAATTAATTCATCTAAAAATACTAAAATAAAAAACAGTTTCTTATTAATCATAATCAGCCATTTGAATAAATCAATAAAATATTATTATCAATTGAGGAAAATTATATAGATTTTTCTCTGTATATACACCCACATATACATATATATATATGACCAGTTAAATGTTTCCAATTCAAATGTTTACGTATTGATAAAGAAACCTGCTAATTGCTTGAATTGTTTTCACGAAAACGTTGAATACGTAAATGTAAAGATTAGGAACATTTAGCTGCTGGCTTAAAAATACGGATCAATATCTATAATAGAGATATTTGTAAAAAAACAAAAACAATAAGTCATTATAACTTTAGATAATGTTAAGTTGTATATTTATAAAAACAAAAAAGTTTATTTGTCCATTTATACTTATTATAATATATCCTAGGTCATTAAGAAAATAATAATTTAAAGATTTCCAATAATTTATTGCAGTTATTTTTACTGAAAACATGATTACTTCTAGGTGGCGGTTGACATTTTTTACACAAGTTAAGGTTCATTTCAAAATTTTCTTAGTAAACTTCAACTTAATTAGTATTTTCTTCATGGTTATTAAACGAGGAAGTTTTTCTTAAAGTGGAGTAGGTATAGTAGTTGTAGGGTGTAAAATAATAAATGCAAATTATTTATGATTTTCTTTAAACGGAACTTAACTGAGCATATTCGCTCAATAATCTCATTTAAAATGTTTTAACAATACCAAAATCTATTTTCGTTTAAAATAAATTTTATTTAGTTTACTATAGAGCAATAGTTAATTACTTAAGTTAAATATTTTTTATACCAGGGACGTGGCTGGGAGAGAGGCACTAGGATCTCCTGGAGTCCTGCCTTGGCTTCCACATTTGGGGTCAAAGCATGACTCAGAGTCCCCTGGGTGATTATAAATGTTGTATATAGGTGTGAAAGTGTTTTATCTGTTTTAATTTCATTTAGTTTCTATCTATTATTATTATTTTTTTTTTTTACATATGTATGTCATAATCGCATCGGATTCGGACGATTTGAGCTATATGATGAGGAAATTGCTAGACACGTATTCCAGATGTCTGAAAATCAGTTAGGGGTCTAAAAATCAGTAAAAGTGAAACAGGGTGCATGGAGAGTTTTTAACGCTCTAAATTTGTCCCTTGAAATTGATGACTGGTCGCTCAATGTCAGCCAGCAGTTCAAGTACCTGGGAGATACTTGCTATCTTCAAAGGGAGGTAGTGAGGTTGACACCGAACATAAAATAAGCAATGGGAAAAGAATAATAAGTTCAATAAATTCAACGCTATGGAGTAAAGAAATAAGATTAGAAACTAAAAATAAGATCTACCACTCCTTTGTAGAAAGCGTAGCCACCTACGGATCAGAAGTTGGACTATTGCAAAAAAGGCGGAAAATAGGTTGGTTTCCATGGAAATAGATTTATGGATAAGGAGCTGTGGCATGTCTAGAATCAAGCGCATCCCAAACGCAGCTATTAGAGACAATGTCGGATGTCAAAAAAACATTCTTCATCTGATCGGGACCAAACGGTTAAAGTGGTATGGCCACTTAATGCGGATGGATGAGAACCACTGTCCAAAGAAAATTTATAACTATATGCCACCTGAGAAAAGGAAGCGTGGAAAGCCAAAGATGAAATGGATAGAGGACGTGGAGGAAAACATGGCAGCCAGGGGGCTTCGTGAAGGAGATTGGATGGACAGGGAGCAGTGGCTTTTGGGTGTTGGGGATACGACTCCTTAAGTTGTAGAAAAACCCAAATAAAAAAAAAATGTTAATTTTCATTTTTTATTATCTACAAATCTTTTTCTTTATTATCTCCATTTCATTCCTCGGAGTTCCCTGGCCTAATTATAAATAGTGAATATAGGTATGTGTTCCTGTTTATTTATTTATTTTTAGGTTATTTTATTCTCATATATTGTATAAATATTTGTTTCTGTATAATTTATTTTTATTATTGTACATAGAGTGTGAATGTGATCTCTGAACACTATTATAAATGCCCTTTGAGGCAGATTTAAAAATATTTTTTTAAATAAAGACCTTTAAAATAAAAAAAATTATCGTCAGAAGTCACTTTAAACGGTTTTAACAATGTCAAACTCTACTTTCGTTTGACGAATTTTCTTGTTTACTGTAAAGTAATTTTTAATAATTTAAATAAGTATTTTTTAGTTATCGCTTCCTTAGAAATAAAATACGTGATTTTCTTTAAAAATAGCAAAACTAGGATTTCCTACTTTTCGGTAGAAGATTGCCCTATTGTTTGTATAAACTTTTTAGAAGCTGTTCAGGTCTGCTATCACTATATATTTCTTTATGTTTACGGGACAGCCTATTATACAAGGTGTCTCGTAATTTTATCACTGTTAAAACCACTCAAAGAGGACAATTAAGCGGTTAAGCTAGACTAAATTCAGTTTAAAAAAAAATCATAAATTATTCGTAGGATTCTTTTCGTCACCATCCAGCTATACCACAGCTACCCCACAATTAGAAAAACTTCCTCGTTAACCTAGCTTTAAGTCCATATTAATTAAGTTGATGGTTATCAGTAAAATAAAAAATTGATTTTATGCCCTCTCACCTAAAAGTTTCTGTGTTTTCAGAATAAATTACTACGATAAATTGTTATGAAGCATTCATTTCTCGTTTCTCCATTATTTGGGACTTATGATAATGAACTTAATTGCCTAAATAGAATTTTTATTAATGGAAAAAATGTTTCTTGACTCTTGTATTTACGATTCCATCATGGAATTTAAAGCAGTCAGTTGGTTTAGTTATATTCAGGACTAGAAATATTTATTTCGTCACTTGTAAATACGGATCAATTGATCTTATAGAGATCTTAGTAACAACAATTCTTCATTATTACCGATCGAAATAATCGGATAATTATTATTATCAACATTTATTAAAAATAAAAAGTGTGTTCATGGATTTATATTTATTATTATACATCCCAGGTCATCGAAAAAAGAAAGAAATGAAAGCTATATAGTAATTTTTTTCTTTAAAAGATGGTTCTTTTAGGATATAGGATATAAAATCATGTAATTTTTTTACAAACTTCTGGTTAATCTCAAGATTTTTCTAATTAACCCCTTCTTAAAAGGGGAAGTTTTTCTAAAAGTGGAGTATCAGTAGTATAGTAGGATTGTGATAAACAAAAACCACGAATTATTTAGGATTTTTTAAAATTTTAAATAGAACTTCCATTTGAAATATGTTCTTTATCGTTTACATTGATGCATATAAATTTCTTAAAAATTGTAAATAATTTTGCGATTTTTTGCGAAAACAATTGGCATACTTCATTTACTAATGTTACTTGTACTGATACTGGCAGCCCACTGCAAACACAAATAATACCAGGAAAATAGCCCAGCGTGCTAGAACGTTATTTCATAATTATCTAACTTTTCATTGGGTTTTTGGTTTTTTTTGTATTGGTAAAACCTTTGAAATATCCTCATATTGAAAAATCCATATTTTATATGTTCAATTGATAAATAAGTATTTCTCTTACTCAAGAAAGGCAATTATGTAAAAAGAGCCTAAAAGGTTTATTATTATTTATTTGATGCTCTCAATGAAAATTATCGATCCGTAGATAAAAACTGGAGAAAGGACGATGTCGAATAGAAAATTGTGCAAAACTTATTAAAAATCATGAAAATTCATACTTCTAATGCAACTGGTGGGGTAGGGTCTGTTACTGTAACCACATTTTAATAGTATCATTTTTTTAAAGTTCCATTTTAACTTTAATTTATTCAAGTTTCTAAAAAAAATTCAGTTAAATGGAAAATAACCAATGATTGGGCTTAAATCTGAGATATAATTTATTACACATGATTCTTGTGTGTCGTTTGTTTGAGTGGCTATGAATGAAAGTCATTCTTTACATTTGGTAAAATTTGGCAAAATTCGACAGAACTTTTAAATACTTTTTTTTTTTAAATAAAAGTTCTCCAAAAAGCTTTTCTTGAAAAGTTGCCAGGGAGAAAGTTTCTGATGAACTGATAAACTCTCGACACTAAAAATTCCGATAATACCGAACGTTTTTCAAAATAAGGTTTTTTTTTTTTTTAGTTTCAAGCTCTGGTATATAGTTTTATTGTTAATGACAAACAAATTAAAGTGCTACTTTTTTTCAAACCTGATTTAATTGATCAATCAACATAGATTATCTAAAACGGTCGGTAGGATGTTTGGTATATACGAATCAGTAAGAAGTATAAATAATTTTCTAGGATGTCACAAATTATCTGTCTTCAAGAAAATTAAAAAATTTTCTAGAATGCAAAATATTTGAAAAATGAAATTTGACATCGATTGTAGCGTTTCGTACCACTGTTCATCGGTTAAAAAGAATATGAATAAGGTAAAAATAAAGTCTAAGATATGAAATATAAATTAATTTATTATAATAAAAAAATATTCATTATTTACATTAGTTAATTTATAATATTGAGTTAAATCTAGAATGTTCCTCGGAATTCGAATCCTCCATGTGTATCCTTGGTCTTGTAGCCTCCTGGATACCTGTCCCTGTTGTGCTCGACGTATCCTCCAGCAGAAAACCTGCCGTCCTTCGATCTCCAGGCGTCCTGGGATATCCTGTAGGTGTCGTGTCGTTCCCCACCCTGCTGGGTCCTGGAAGCTTCGGCTCTAAATCTGGGGCGGTTGTCTTCGGCTTGGGCGAGGGCCACCAAGCAGGCAGTCAAGAAGGAGATCAATACCAACTTGTTCATTTTCTATAAATTAAATTTTAAAAAATTATATATATATATACATCTCAAATTAAGATCAAGAAATAAATTAAGAAATCTCTGATTAAGGATGTACAATACTATGATAAAGCCAGTTATAATATATGGCTGTCAGACCTGGACACTAAACAGCATCCTAGAAAAAAATGTTGAAAGATTTGAGAAGAATCCTGTGCACGATAATCGGAGCGATCTAGGATCAGAGTACTAACAAATGGAGAAGAAAGGTCAATAAAGAACTGCTTACAAAAATTGGTCAATTAATATCCCATGATCTGAAGGCATGGAGGTTGAGCTATAGGGCATGTAGCAATCCATCTGGAAGCCTCTACGTAACAATGTATGCTTAAATAAAAGGCAAAACACCACGTAGAAGGCCAAAAAGCAGGCTGATAGATAGAATCAACAAAGATTTCCATTTCTTGAGCTGCGTTCAGATAAATGGAGAGAAATAGCCCAGGAAAGGCAGAGATGGTGCAGGCCAGTTAAGGAGGCAAATGATTTATATGATATGTAATACTAACAGAAAAAAAAAATACATATATATACATATATAATTACACGATACATATGAAATCGAAAATTTTCATACTTATCAAATTAAAAACCATTACGGCTATTTTTTAAGATCCAATAAAGTATTAAAAGTATTTTTTTTTTTTAGATTATTATAATACATATCATATATTTCAATGCTCACAGGTTTTATTAGACTTAAAGAATTTGTAAGATTCCTGTCTGATCAAAATCACTCAAACATTTTAATAAAACAATCATGGTTTTTGTACATTTTTGATACCATGCCCTTGTAAATTAATAGTTTTCAATAACATTTTTATTTTTAATCCTTATTTTTACGTTTTTAATTAAGCCGTTATTCTCTTTCTCATTTGACGATTTTACTTTTAGTACAATGTCCACAATAATAAAGAAAAATTAAAACTTAATTTAAAATTAAATGTCTACTCTATATTAGGAAATAGATACAGATTGTGTCACTGCCGTATATATCGCAATTGCATCTTTGGTGATCACCGAATTTCCATTGCTTGTTAAATAGTAACAAGATTTTAAAATATTTCATTTTTTTAATTTTTTCTAAAGCGGCTTTATATCTTGTATAGAATATTTTTTTTCAACAAAAGTGAAAAAAATTAATAGAGAATCGACGGTATATAAAATATTCATTAAAAATCGAAAAGAAAACAACATTTAATTGAAATATTCTTTAATATATAAAAATAAAAAGATTTAAGTTGACTTTAAATGAAATGTTATTTAAAATATTTTGGATAAATACAAAAGAAAATACTTTTGAAATTCTAATCACTCTATGAACAGTTTTAAAGATTTTGAATAACAAAAACAGATAATAAAAATATTTAAAAAGTGTACAGTTGTATAGCTACCTTATTGGTTGATTGGACGAGATGTGACGCTGGTGGAAGCTGTGAGGTTCTGCCGTCTCCAACCATGCTCCGCTAGATATACTCCAGCCGCTGTAAACCACAGCGATCCGTTCGTTGTTCCTGAAATCCGAGATGGGATTCCCTCATTGAAAGGGTGATGAGGAGTGTCTCCAAAGAATATTTTTTGTTATAAAACCAACTACAAATATATCAACAGATGCTCAGCCTATTTAAAAATAATTTGAATGACGTAAAAAGGAAGAAAACAATTTTTATTAAAAAAGGATACATCGTCTAATTAATTATATTCAGCTATTTGAATAAATTAGTAGAATATTATTATCAATTGGGGAAAATATAAATTATCCAATAATGTTTTTCCAATGTATAAACATATATACTGACGAGAAAAATTAAAGCGTCACCGACAAATTTCGGTAAATATAGGAAGTTCTGATGGCAGGGGATTTAATTTAAAGAAGACTCGATCAGTGTTCATACTTCAACCGTAGAAGGGTTCCTACGAAAAAAACATTGCACAGAGGCTCCGGCGGTCACAATCCGTGATTTCCAGTGATTATTACGTATTATGAGTCTGAAGGGAATACCAAATAAAGGTCGTCCAAGGTTAACTTCCTGGCGTGACGAGAAATTCACCCTATTCGAGATCATCTGTCTACACGATAAAGCCTGGTTTGTCTCCTACAGCGGTTCAGGAGCGTACGAACTTCAATATTAACGGTGAAAAGATAACTAAACAAGTATGGATTAAAGTTCCAGTCTCCAACAACTGGACCTTTGCTTTCGAGGGAGAACCGAGTTCAGCGTTTGAGATTTGCCGGGAACACATACGCCTTCTGGAACCGTGTGTTATTCGCAGCCGAGCCCATTTTCAGAATAAGTCTCCAGAAGGACGCAAAAGTGTGTGGAGGAGGTATGGATATAGATGTAATGTTCCTCCAAGGGCTGCTTTAAGAGGATGCTCAGTGATGGTTTGGGGCGTCATAAATTTAAACTCCCACTCCGTAGTTGAGTTCTTCTGGACTGCGGCTTTGAGGGGCAAAGGGGAGATTCTAGAACCACATGTGATACCTTATGCCAAAAATATAAGCAATGAATTAATTTTAATGCATGACGATGCCCGACCTTCATGTCGCTCAGCTGGTGCAAAATTATCTTCAACAAGAAGAGATTGAAGTTACGCTTTAGCCACCCAGAGGTCCGGACATGAATCCAATAGAGCAAGTATGGAACATGCTTGAGAGACATGTCCACAATCGTGAATCTCAAATTTTGGCCAATTTAAGAAAAGTTTTAGTGGAAGGATGTTACAACATCTCGGAAGAATGTGTAAGGAACTTGGTCGGTGGAATGAACAGGAGTATGCTGTTATCCTACTGATTTTTTTTTTCAGTAATATGTATGTTTCTTTTCTTTTAAATTCCAAAAAAATGTTTTATTTTCTTTCTATCTAAATTTATTTGCACTTTTAATGAACTATTATATCATATTCAAAAAGAATACTTTCAAAAATGTTCATTAAAATAAAAATATTAAAGAGATTCTTTTATTTTGTCCGGGATTATATATATATATATATATATATATATATATATATATATATATTATATATATATATATATATATATATATATAATATATATATATATATATATATAAATTTAAACTTAAGTATATATTGGGAATAAGGTCATTTAATTATTCCCGGTAGGTCTTCGGGCTCAGGACCGGTGATGGGCAGACACTCAGCGATCCAGTAGCTTAATATATGTGCTAGTGGACGGTGCTGAGACTGTCGGTGTGTCCCTGGCCTGATCGAAGCTCTATTTTTTAAAAGTAGGTTAAACATTTTTAAATAATTGTTATTAAAGACATATGGAAGTAATATAGTGTACCGATTGAGCTATTTGTAGTTCTAGCTTTGAAGATGATCCCATGGTTGACTAATAAAAAGAAAATACCGGGATCGAAACGTCAATAAACAGAAGAAATGAACATTCAATAGTTTATTAAATAATAATTAAATGACCTTATTCCCAATAAATAGTTAAGTTTAAATTTAATACTCAAAGGTCGATTAAGGATAAGTTGTAAATATACATATATAAATTATTGAATGTAAGTATATAGTATATCATTAGAAAGTAAGCATTATGAAAGCCGCAATTAAAATAAATTTCCTAAAAAGATCAATAAAAAGAAGAAAAGAATGTTTTAATCTCAACGGACAGTCCGATGCTATTTTTCTTACTGATATATCCATTAAATATTATAGATAATTAAATATTAATAAACAACAACTAATAAATCAAAATTATCGAAGAAATATAATATTGTATATAGGAGTGAATGTGTGACAGGTTTTGTTTTTATTATCCTTTTAATGTTTTTTTTTCATTTTTACAAATATTGTATATTTTTTGTTATTCTTTTATTGTATATATTTTTTACTTACATGTTATCTTCTTATTTCTTTTTCTCTCAATTTGTATATAATAATATAAATGTAAGCATAGAACCTTAACACCCAATTGTATTTTTATTCTTCCAATACAAGTTTAAAAGTAAATATATATATATGTATGTATGTATCTATAAAAGCTGTTATTCAGAACTCTTCACTGAAGTTCGATGCTGTTCGAAATGGAGAAAGGTTCTAGGTATGTGATTTTAATTCGAAAGTGGTCGATAATTCGACCAGTGTCCATTGAACTTTTTATGTATCAATAGCTGCCTCTCCAACGAGATTAACTAACGGGTTTAATATTTTTTTACCTGGTATCACCAAAAACCGTTTCATCGAAATCGATGACTCCACGTCCGTAGCCTCCTCTTGCCGGTGATTTACAAATAAAAGTTATTTGTTTTTTAAACCGGATATAATTGATCAATCAACACAGATTCTTTTGCAGAGTGCATCAAATAATTTTCTTCGAAACATATCATCGTGAGGATTGAATAATCAGATGAGATAGCTTGGATGTAGAGTTGTTAATTGGATATCTCGAAACACAGATGATTACAAACAGATAAGACGAAACCGATATAACTTTTAACAGACCTAACGGATAAACGTTAGGCATCTTAAACAGTATGATGATGTCTTAATCAAGATCCACTTAGTATTTGTGTTGTAGCATGTAATTATATCTTTGATCATATTGGTTTGAAGATGTTTTAATAACAGGATCCTTGTATCAATCTATGTCTTAAAAATGGAAGAGTTGTGGTAGTTTGATAGAAGAGAGAAGATAATCTTTAAACGAAAATCCCATGGGTAAACACTTATTTCTGATGCATATTTATTAAAATTTATATTCAGTTTAAAAGTATTTAAAGAAAATACAATGTTGTTAGTTGTGGTTAAAAGAGTTTTGTTCAATGAATCATTATTCATCGGTGGTACAGACCCCTTTTTATCGAATTATTATCATCCGCCTGAAACTTCGTAAATAGTTTCATCTCATCATAACATATGACTATTTTATATACAAAAACTCTTGAAATTGGGGCGTTTTCAATCTGGAGGGGGGACAAATATTGTCTATTTAATTAGGTACTAAAATCTGTAAATAAATATTTGCTT